GTTTGAAACTTTATCCTTCTGCACCACATTATGGACTAGATCTGATCTTTGGAGCTCTTGGTATCGGAGAAAACAAATTAATGTATTAAGCTATTGAAACTCAGGCAAACACGGCGTGTTTGCAAGACAACACGGCGTGTTGGATGGGGTTTTCTCGACTATTTGGATGATAGAGAAACATGGCGTGGCCAATAGGAAACACGGCGTGTTTGGTTAACATGGACTGTTGACTTTGACTTTGATCAGGGTTGACCATGGTATATTTTGGGCCATGTTTGGGCCTTTTTGGATTATTAGGTTTGGGCTTAAGTCCTTGTCCAAACTAGGTAAGGGGTAAATTGGTCATTTACCCTAGTAATGGACTGATGGTTTGAATGGAAATCCAATTGTTAATTGGGTGTTGTTTTGATATTGATAGTTCAGGAACTGGTCAACCAACAGCTAGGGATTATCTGCGTGATTCAGCAGTGCGAGGTGAGTCTCCTCACTGTGTTTAGCGGATCAAAGGCACCAATGCAGACCCATGGTTTATTATGTTAGGATGCTAGATGTCTGCGTGACTCTTGTATATGTATGTATTGGTAAGTATGCCGAGCGGGGCTCGATGTCGGGCACAACCCGACGACTGTATTGTATTCTGTTATCTTTGTGATTATCACATGTGTTGGTAGGATAATGTGTTTGTATGCTGGGCGGGGCCCGTTATATGAGTGTGGGCGTTACACGTATCTCAGAGGGCGGGGCCCGATATGCGAGTATGGGCGGGGCCCGTATCTCAGTGGGCGGCACCTGTTATGTGAGTGTGGGTGGGGCCCGTATCTTAGTGGGCGGGGCCCGATACACTCATTGGGGCGGGGACCATTATGTGCTTAGTTATGTATGGTATGTGGTATATTGGGGGAGCTCACTAAGCTTTGTCTTACAGTTTTCAGTTTATGTTTCAAGTACTTCGGTTTTCAAATGGAAGAGCTCGGGATGATTGTAGAGCACACATCACATGGTTTCCGCTTTTGAGATATTACTCTGATAGATATGATGTTTGATACACTTATTTTCATTTGGGTTGTATGGATAATGTTTTGGAATACTGTTTTATTTACAAAATATGAAAATTTTGGATCATATTTTTGGGACGTTACATAATAAATACTATTTTATTGGATTATTAGATTATTAGTTTATTTTTAATTTATACTATTAATTCTTTTTAATTTTATTGGTTCCACCATAAAGTCACCAGAATACGAAAAATAATTGCCTCTCATCACCGAAAATCGTTGAGTTCACCACAAAACATCTTCATCGGAGGTCGGACAGAAACTCACCAACCTTTTCCAACCAACGATAACGGTATTCACCTGTGATAACACCATAACCATCACTTGATCACCGCCACCACTTTTAATGTTTATAAGAGTTTCTTGCACATTGTGCGGGATATGGAGGATTCCAACGGGTTTTTGAAGATGTTGTCGTAAGTGGCTCCTGGTGATGTTGTTTGGAAAAATTAATAAGGTTTACATCGAACCTCCGATGAAGGTGTTTGGAGGTGATCCTGATGATTTTCCTTGATGAGAGAAGGTGATTTTGTATATTCTGACAACTTTGTGATGAAACTAATAAAATTAAAAAGAATTAATATCATACAATAAAAATAAATTAATAATATAGTAAATAATATTTATTGTATAAAGAAAATAATAAATTAAAGTGTAATATTCCACTAAAATAATTAATCCTGAAAAAATGAAATAAAAAATTTAACTAAAAGAAATTAATGATTTGATAATGTATTATTTATTAGGATATAAATATTATAAACTAAAAATAATATTCACTAATATATAATAATCCAATAAAAATAATTATTCTAATAAACCAAATTAACAAAATTAAGAGTAAATTACACGAACGGTCCTATGGTTTAAGGTAATTTGCGCGTTTGGTCCCTAACTTACTTTGTTAACTCGGAAGGTCCATACTGTTTGTTTTTGTTACACGCTTGGTCTCTGTCTTACCTAAAAAAACTATTTAGCCCTTGATTTTTTAAAATATTTAAATAAACACACCCCAACCCCAACCCCCTCACCTTACCTTACCTATCCTACAATTTTTTACTATTTAAATAATAGTCTTTTTAGGTAAGACAGGGACCAATCGCGTAACAAAAACAAACAGTAGGGACCAAACACGTAACAAAAACAAACAGTAGGGACCAAACGCGCAAATTACCCCAAACCATAGGGACCATTCGTGTAATTTACTCCAAAAGTAACTCAAATAAATTAATAATCCGATATAATATATATATATATATATATATATATATATATATATATATATATAATATATATATATATATATATATATATATATATATTATATATATATATATAGGAAGGATCTTTTGAGAACTCAAAGTTTCCCGAGAACCCGAAAACCAATTGTGGGCCGTTAGATCAAAATAATAAAAGGCTAGGATGCTCGATGGCGTTTTTGTAAATAGTTTGAAAAAAAATAGACGGGGGCATCTTAATTATTATGAATCAGGGGCATTTTAGTAAATAAATAATTCAGACCCCTCTCTCTCTCCTCTCCTATCTCTCTTTCTCACTCTCATCTCTATTGTTGTCGTCTAATCGCCTCGTAGTCGTCGGAGATGACGTCTTTGTCGGTGAGGTGGTCGAAGACGGAGACCAGTCTTTTGAACACGGAGGAGCATGACTTCAAAACTAACTTCCGTCGGTCAAAGAATCACCAAAAGTTTGATCTGTCAGCTTGTACACGACATCATTTGATTTTCCGAGATGAATGCATCTGAATTACGAAAGCATATCGGATTGAGATCTGGATGTAATCTCAGGTTCCATGCCAACGTTAGCGAGACTCCGATCCTTCCAACGAACGTTTCCCCGTATAATTTCAATTGGAGAGGATATAGTGCAGTCACCAATGATGTTAAGAATCAGGTACTCGGATTTAAAACAATCAGTATCCTTCATATGGAAATCTAGTAATATTTATTATTGTTAATGTTATCAATTGCCATGATTATCCAATTTTATGGATTTTTGTTCTACAGTAGTACAGGGAATGTTGTATTGAACTGAAAGAGGCGATTTGAAGTCTCTGTATCTTGGAGATTTTATTTAGCTCATCCAACTGCAGATGACTTTTTTTTGGTAAGTATGTTTGATCTTTTTGTTTTTTCCCTTTATTTAAGCCTTATATTGATAATGTTTTGATGAATTACAAGTTTGAAAGTTATCATATAATGATTTTGAATGCCAAAATCATTTGATAATATACTTGTTAATCTTATTGAATGTTGTTCATACATACAGGTAACGTCCTATTGACATGAAATAAGTGATTTTTATCAAGAAATCTTAGTAATATATTTGTTAATTTGATTATTACCAGATGATTATTACACTTTTTTTATCGACATATTCATCGGCTATTATTGTAATAATTTAATTGATTGTTGGCATGTCTGAAAATATGATAACAGAAGAATAAGTAACAATAATAGTCTTAAAAAGGGATGAAGTGTAGTTGATTTGGTTTTTTTGAATGATAGGATCCTGGAAATTCAGTGATGATTGTGTGTGATGAAAAGCTGAAGGAAGTATTTGGATGTGAGAGCATTTCAACAATGGGAATACCAGAGTTGTTGGTTAGACACCATTTACTCGAGCAATAGTCTTGTCTTCTCAACTTACATGGATATTATGCAAACAGGAATTGAGGAATTGAGCGTCTGACATATGATGTGAAGAAAGAAAGTAGTAGTAGTAGTAAAAGTTTTTTAAGTTTGTTTTTACGGTTGTGTGAGTGCTGTTGACATTGTAATGGTAGTGTGTAGAATGATGTTGGAAATTGTTTTTATGTAAAACCAAACCCAACAAATGTTTTTCTTGTTGATGTTATTGTGATGTTTAGCTGTTGTTTACCTTTATCCTTTTGTAAATGCATAACCATTGTATGTTAATGATCTATTTACTAATGTTTTCACTATGATTAAAGGCAATCTTCAGGTTTCATTTCAGCTTTTAGCAATTGCAATTGATGTTCTTTTTATTGTTTATGTTTTCATTAATCATATGATTAAATGCGATGTTCAGATTCATTGGCTATGATCTTTACTAAAATTGCTATGATCTTCAGGTTTGTTAATATGTATTTTGATTATTGAAATCATTATATGAGAAATTTGATTCAGGTTTCATAAACATTAGGACAAAAGCTTGTGAGGTGTTTCGGAGAGAAGATTGTCTAAATGAGATTGTATAGGTATGTTGATGGTTTTATTATATTGTATATGTTTTATTAGATGAGAATTATATATGTATATGAACATTTGATGGTGGTAGTTTGGTGGTTAAATAAGATGTAATTCACATATGAATTACATGTGATTTACATGTAAATTCACAAGTAATTCACTTGTAATTTACATGTGAATCACATGTAATTCATATGTGATTCACTTGTGATTTACATATGAATTACATGTGATTCACATGTAAATAAGATGTAATTCACATGTAAATCACAAGTGAATCACATATGAATCACATGTAAATAAGATGTAATTCACATGTAATAAGATGTGATTCACATGTAAATCACAAGTGAATCACATATGAATTACATGTGATTCACATGTAAATTACAAGTGAATTACTTGTGAATTTACATGTAAATCACATGTAATTCACATATGAATTACATGTAATGCACATATATTTCACTTTTGTAATTCACATGTAAATCACAAATGTATTAGCAATTTTCAAGATGATGATAACACAATATATATTAGCAAAACTTGCATAATTTACCAAAAGTTGTTAAACTTAGTCATTATAGTGTTTTACAAAATAAAGTGCATACTAAAATTTTTGCCAAAATAGCCCATATAATTAATTAAATCCTAACATTCTACTGGATAACAAGAGCTTTGTTTTTAGACATTCTTATTCCTTTTTTTTCTATTACAATTTTTTTAACTTGTTCTCAGTGATCCTTTCAGAAGTTTTTCTAGTTCTGATCATTTTTGAAGTTTTTCTAGATCTTCCTTCCTCTGTCTTATGGACCTCATCTGTGTAATCCACATGCTCTTTGTTATCGACCTCATTATCTTCCTTCTTTTCTTCTTCACCAATTCCTTTTTCTGACATATTCTAGTATAGAAAAAAATAGATGTTAGTTATGTTATTAGAATTTAAAATTTACTCAGAACTTTAAAAATATACCTTTGGGATTTCTTTTGATTTATGAAAGAAGTCATCAAATTCCTTAAGTTGTTCTTTGGTGATATTAAGAATCGAAATGATATCTTGCTCACTGTAATTTGATTGTCTCAAATCATTCAGAAGTTACGAAGTCTTTCTCCTTCAATGATATGCTCGACTGGAACACATGCTTTTGGAAGATGTTGATTTTCCAAAGTTGTTTGAACTTTTTAAGTAATTTCCAAATTGTCAGGTTCTCCATCTATATTGTAAAATTTGTGCTGCACTCTATCTTTTTTAACTAAATCAAATTCATATAACACTTTTTCCCATTTTTTTAAATCTTCATTTTGCTGAAAATTTTCTTTTGCTTCTTCAATGTTGAATTATAACTTACTTTCTTCTTACAAAGACTTTCAAAAGTTTTTGTCAAGTTGACAAATAATCCTGCGTAAAATAAAAACATGTACATATATGTATATTATTTCACATCTGATTATGAAACACAAATATATATAGTATGTATATTTTGCATTAATATTTATTTATATATAACTATTTTTTAATAAAGTTTTTATAGATTTTTACCTCAATCTTTTTATCTGTTATATTTTGCAATCTTTCAAGAATTTTTCCTGTTCCAAACATTCCAACTTTCATTTCGCTAGTTTCTCGTTTTTTCATTTTGATAGAATCCCAATTTTTTATTGCTGGATGTAATCGTAAATCATTTTCTTCATCGAATTGAACATGATCAACATATAATAGCTGCATAAAAAGAACATAGTCAAATTTGTATGTTATAGTAAAAAATTTAAAAAATTTATTTTAAATAAAGAAATATTACCAGCAAGTATGTCAGTGGACCATAGAAGTACCCTTTACAATTGTGTGATACATATGACCTTGTGTTATTAATCAATGAGTCAATTGTCTACCTACACCAGTCAATTTTTGAAAAATCTATGGTGCTTGGAATCTTCTTTAATATATTCTGATTGATTTTACCTGTAGGTGTACTTTCAACTAGAGTGTTGCAAAACAGAACAATGAAATTGAGTTTGAAGTTGAAATCAGCCTCTTTTGATGATATAATTGCATTTGTGATATCATTCAATCTAATGTTTTCTGCTTTATGAAATTGGGATATCCATTTGCTGTAGCATTCATCTTCTGCAGGTCGAAAACTAAGGTCTTCCACTTTTTGGTCACCCATTGGAATTCCAAGCATCTCGTTCACACTTTGTCTGTCAACCTTAATTTCTCCATTTATAACTTTTAGTACCTTTTTATCCATATCAAAGCTTTTAACAACAAATAAACCAAGTGATGAAGGCAACTCATCAACTTCCAATTTCAATAAGCTTTTAAATCCCATTTCTTTAACACAATTCTTCTGCTCCAAACTAAGTTTCTTTATAATTTTAAGCAATGATTTTGGTGATGACCAGTTACGTATTGTTTTGAAATGATTTTCTTTTTCAGCCAAAACTATCTTTGGATAATTTTTTTTCTTGTTTATTTTGGGCTGTTCTTTTTCAAAAAAACAGTTTTGTTCATCAATATCACTTCTCTTTCTCTTTCCAACATTAGCATTCAAAGAACCTGCAAAAAATATTATTTGTCAAATCCTATTCAAATGTTATTTCATATGTGATTTACGTGTGAATCACATGTAACTTGTATGTAATTTACAAGTGAATCACATGTCATTCGTATATAAATTGCATCTGATTTACATGTTAATCACATGTAATTCATATGTGATTACATGTGAATCATATGTAATTCATATATGATTACAAAGTGAATCACATGTAAATTACTCTTGAATCGCATGTCATTCATATATAAATTGTATGTATTCCAAATCAAAATTTTTAATTTTAGATTCTGGAAAGTCCAACACTTTCAGGAAGGCTTCTACACCTTTTGGGTCAAATATCTCAGAAACAAATGCATATATTTGAAAAATGAGCTAAGTTACAGGTATGAAAGAATGTAGAGAGTGCTA